CAGACACATAGTTGGTGAGACACATTAAGAGTGCAGAACTAGTTTTTCAGCTTGCTGACTATCTCTCGCAACATTCGCCTGTCTCTGGCACTTTACACATTTCCAAATCTAGCACCAGTCTGTGAAATTCACTGACTGCCAGCACGAAAGATCAAGGTTGGTAAGTATTTCAGCATATACTGGAGAGGTGAGAAGAGGCAGCTGCATGGTCCTTGTTCTGTACACAGCAAAGCGGCCGGCAGCTTCAGAGGAGTAAAAGCCACAATCCATTAATCCCTGTCCTTTAGGGGTTGGGACACACAATGAGTATTCCAAGCTGACATACTAAATTCCTCATGTGGTTTCTGAGCTTAAATGTCTAAGTATCTCAACATAAATCAACCCTGCAGCTTGTGTTAACAATAGAAAGGTCAAGCTGTAGTCGATTGATGGCTGCAAAATTTCAGAATTTAAATATTTCAGCTTTGAAAGTGACAGAACTAATAATACAATAAAAAATGAGAATGGACACATGAGCTGGATTCAACAGCATGAAAAATAAGATATAAACAATAGCAAGCAATATAAGACTTAATGACCAAAATTCACTCTCTTTTAGCTGTTTTTGGTCTCCACCAACTCCTGAGGGTCTTTAATGCTCAACTATGTTCACCAGCTAGTCTCTGTTAAATCTAAATATGAAACTGTCAGATAATTGTAGAGTACGATATATCTTTTTGAAAAATATGAACTAGTATACAACAATCATTTGATGTCTTTCGAACGAGTGTAGTTTGAAAATCCAACTTCAGAACGTACAAAGGGAAATCAATACCAAATATAGAAAATTTTCAATATGTAGCCCTGTGTAATTTAAAGTCATTTAAAGCACAATATAATGCTTTCAATTCAAATACCTATATAAGAAAGCAATAAAACCACTGGTCCATTAGCATGCCCTGCCCTCACATTTATGTGCATGCACTCATCTGTACCCACAGACACACCGAGCCAGCGTGCCACCCCACACTGAGAAATTGTATCTGCTGCTCTCTCAGGCATGTACTTTATATACTATTTTCATATTTAAGCACACAGTGGGTAAAGGCTCCTCTCTGGTTCACAGTAGGTGTTGTGGAAATAAATATTTTATACTAGAATCTAATTGCATTTTGTGGCCCTGAGCGCCCTACCAGACAATCTGCAATACAGCTCTAATGGCAGTGCTCCCCAGTGTATGTTGAAGAGTGCGCACACACACACACCCACACACACACCCACACACACACACACACACACACACACACACACACACACACACACACACACACACACACACACACAACAACACTACAATCTAGTTTATGGACTGTGAAGCTCTCACACATCTGCATTCTGTGTCTGTACACCAGTGGTCTCTCATATAGGTCTATAGGTCATGACGCTGCGTGTGTTTATATGTATGTATGTGTGTCTGTTTATGTATTCAAAAGAAGCAGAATACACTTAATATAGAGAATATACTGAGTCTCTGTGAAGCATACAGTGCCCCTTTTTTGCTTCTGCTCATCGACCGGAATGGCCTCGTACATCCCACATGAGAGGTTTTGAGGTTAAACATATGCACATACACAGACATGCTATAATGAACTTACATACGATTAGTACATCAGCTAAAGGATCTTTGCATCCTAAAAATATCAACCATTCAGCTAGCACAAACAACATGGAGATAACTAAATCCTGTGTGGGCTACAGGCCACAGAGATTAAGTATTGTCCTCCAATGATGGCCTTATTGACAATCGACAGAGCCAGACTTGTATAATCTGAGAGAAAGACCAAATCAATATCCACCACAGAGTCCAGCACCTACCAGTCAGATGAGGGTTTGACCCACTCAAATAGAAGCCTGGAAAAGCTTTATCAACCCTGGAGGCCAACTACCAGACAAATCCCGAGCCCCTTGCTTTTAATAAGGGAATCAAAATAATCGTAAGGCCACAGACTGACCTCGGCTTTGTATTTGTGTCTTTCAGTATGTGTTGTTGTGCTCTATACACCCAGAGAGCAAACAAATAGATGGTCACATAGTCAAACATTATTTTCTAAAGGTTGAGCTGTTGATACAAAAAAATTCAAAACAGTAAAAAATGCGGTGAGTGAGTCCGTAACTACTCAAGTCTGCTTGCATCCCTGCCTGTGTCCAAGCAGGGCTGCAGAGGTCCACAGAAATCCATTTAGGATTACCCAGTATGGCTGTGTGTATCGGTGATGCACAGTCAAAGGGTGGGCTCAGTGCAGCGCAGAACTCCAATATGGTTTTCTGCTGGCACACAGCCAGCATTTACATATGAATAAATATGAGGAAAAATCAAATAAATAAAAGGAAAGCTGGGGAAAATAATCCTGTTAAAGATCAAACAGCAGGCTCCCTTTCCCCTCCTCCTGTCGTTCTCTGCTGCCTCAATTTTTCTTCAATTTATACCTATATTCCTTAGCTCATCTATGCTCCCACCTTTCTCTCTTTTTCCTCACTCGTCTTCGAGGCAACTATCCCTCCACTTTCAATATTCATTTGTAGATGTCCACATCCTCTTTCTCTCCATCTTTTCTCCCTCTCCCCCATCTTCCATCTCCTTTACGATTTCATGGACAGCCATATCTTTAATCTTGCTCTTCCCCCTTTTCCCGTGTCCAACGCTCCCTCGTCGCCCTCCCTCCGTCCCTCTCTCCTCTCCAGTGCAGAACTAAATGGAGATTAATGAAGGGAGGAAGATGTGTCTGTCATCCAGACAGTCTGATGCAGCCACCACAGCCAGTAAAGTACCGGATCTATTCAAAACACACCAGGGAAAGCTATATGCTCTAATACTGCTCCAGCCGAGAGGAACTACAGATTAGTCTACCAACTTCTATTTAGATTATTTGTAAATACTAACCATACCACTGAAGCATGCATTCCTTTCTGCAGTGAGAGTGTTTGGAATATGGCTTTTCTATGCCCCCCTCTCTCATTTTTATCCTATCATTGTAGGATATTCAGAGCACACCCCAGTGTCTCATTTCCTCCCTAAGTTTAAATCCTGACAACTGACGGCCGCTCGCTGCTCACACGCCAGTCAAACAGCTCTGATAAGCCCCGCAGGAAATTGACTCGTATTTTAGAGCTTCATCTCCCACATCACATCCTCCCACCACCCATCATGCCCTTGGTTAGAGGTCAAGCAGCTTTCACTAATCTCATATGCAAATTTCTGCATGGTACAGTGTGAACACGAGGGTGATGTACGTATGTCCATAATTCATGAGCTATTACCAGTGACAAGTTGCACTTATGTTTGAACACAACTTTCTACTGATATGGGCTTTCTTACTACAGTTAGTGCTGGGTGAAAGCATAAAAGAAGTCTTAAAAGTAAGCTGTCATTTGTGTGTATGGTGTGTGTGGGTATTCAGAAATGGATGAAAGAGCCTGCTGCATGAAATATTTAGCATGGATGGCAATAAAATGCTCTGGACTTGAGTGATCTTCCTCTTAACATATCCTTACATTTCTCCCTTTATATGTTCTTGATATTTACCATGTTATGTTATTGAGATGATGTCACGTGTGTTTGTGCCCGTTTGCGTATGTGTGCATGAGACAATAGGGGAGTGCGCTCATCGGCACACACTAACGGAAAACGGAGTGAATTAAAAACAAACATTCTGATGAAGATGATGCATTTACTCACAAGGTAATTACAAGCATCGATTAAGACCCATCCACAAACATCCTGTGTGTGTGTTTAACACTACAATCAAGCTGCTTATACCCACACACTCGCTCGCTTATCAAGGCTCACATAGCCTGTGTGGATTAGCAGCTGTTTACGTGTGCAATATATTCATCTAGCTATTGTGTTCCTTCTCTCAGCCTGGCTGGATGGTGCTTTCAAGGCGCAGACATCTCCCCTGGAGTTTTTCTGTAGCAGTGTGCACAGCAGCCAGGGGAACGCAGCAGGGGGAACAGGCTCATGTGACTCTACTATTGGTGAGAAAAAGGCAGAAAACTGACAGGCTGGCAAACACAACTGGGACTGCAGTTAAGTCGACAGGAAGACTCCTGTGAGGCTATACTGCAGATATGCTTGGAGGAGCTGTGGCTGAATTACAAGAAAGCATCTGCCCAGTTAAAATGGATTCCAATTTCTGCATCTGTTTTTCATATTCAGAGCAAAACCAGAGCTTTATGGAGTGGACTTAAAGGACCTGAAATCAAAGAGGTATCCTTACTGAACAGTGCAATCGAGCTTGGATAGATAAGTTGACCTAAAAATGTACAATAGGAGTTAATGTTTCGAGGCAGGACTTGGCAGAAACGCTCTAGTTAAAAAGTAATGCTGACATTCGTGTGCTTTTAAACATCTGGTCTTTAATCTCTAAGTGTTTTCCACCAGTGTTTCTTCACCTTCTTTACTGGCTACATCAATGAATGAATAAACAATGAATATTTCAGCTTTGAAAGCAAGAATCATGGAGGGGCTGTGGCTTTTTTTTCCAACCCTACCTTCACCACACACACATACACTAATACACACATGCACTTTCTCATAATTTTCTCATAATCCTCCTCCTGCTCCTTTTTCTTCAAAATGTCACAGCAAGAACTGACATCATTAATTGTCATGGAGTGATCCCTTCACGCTACATCCCCCACCTCCTGTTCTTTTTTTCTCTACGTGCCTTCATCCCTCATCCTAATCAGCCCGGGGGTAATGCCTGTGTCAGGTTTGCTCATCTGTGACTCTTACATGGCAACTGCTGGGACCCTGAACCCAACTCATATTCTGCACACCCACAAACACACACACACGGCAAGCATGAAAGTCTACATAGAGCCCAGCCCGTACAGTACAACCAGATTAGCATCACATGGGTGGTAATGGTTTTTGGTTATGGTAAGGCTTTACTGTGGGCTTGAAGGCTTTACATAACAGGAGTGTAACAGGAGCGGCTTATTCAGCAATAAATCTTGAATAATAATTTGTGTCATAATGTCACGGGGGGAAGTTTGATTTTATTTAAGCATGCTTTTACTTTGAATTTGCTGTGTTTTTGTCTTATTTATTATTGCATGCTTTTATTTTGAAGTGTGTTTGTGTTACGTTGGTTTTACTTCCCCACCGGAGACATACCTTAATCAAGCATAAGGACTTACACCTGGCACCCAGAGAGGGGAGTGACTGTTCTTGGATAAAAAGGACACTATGGAAGATACCCGGGGGCACGAGGGAGGACACAGAGGGCACGAGGGAGGACACGGAGGTCACAACGGGCCGGACAGCAGGAAGCAGACAGAGAGACAGAGCAGATCATCGCACTGGAAGAGGTCTGAAGAGACACCGGAGCAAACACCGACCGTTAGCGGCTATAATTGGGAGAAGGTAAAACTTCTCCCTCCCGCGTAAGTCCCGTTTCAGACCGGTGTTTGTGTAGTGTGTAATATATAAAGTTGTGCCTTGTTAAAGGACATTGACTGGCCCTGAGTTTCCCTCGACAGGCTGCCGAAGAGCGGAGCCAGGTGAAGAGCAGGTGGTCGCCACCAGAGACCCGCGACTGCCGTTGTTGACTTCCCACTCCATCCGTGCCACATTATTTTAGCTGGGTTTTAGTTGTTTGTGTTCTTTGTTTAGTTTATTTGAAGGTAGAGCTTTTAGTTGTTTTTACTTATTTTAAAATAAATTGTGTTCAACTGTGTTCCACTGGCTGTACTCATTGTTTTAAAAATAACACTGTTTACTGCTCTCCCCCGACATAAAAGAACCTGTTTACCCTAACTTTAATTTGGTGATCCTAAGAGGTCCTAGGCCTCAGTTAAACCTAGGTGGCGTTGTCGGCACTTGTGTTTTAATTTATCCACCCTTAGCACGGCTCACATTTTGGCGTTGTCGGCAGGATCGGGTACAGAGAGCAGTGTGGTGTATTTTAAAACAGTGAATATGATGATGCCTGTATATCCTGGTGCCCCTTGGCTGCCAAAGTTTAAAGGACCAAATTGTGACCTGAAATATCATGACTGGAAGGAGCAAATACAGGGCTTACTTGGAGCGCAAGAGCTAGCAGAGGCCAGAAAAATTGACATTGTGTTGGGTGCGTTAGCTGGGGAAGCCAAACGGCAGGTCAGTGTTTTAGAGGATGACGAAAGGGATAGAGTACGCAAAATCTTTCTGTATTTGGACTCTCTATATGGAGACAGAACCCCCGCCCCAGTGTTAAGGTCTCAGTTTTTTAGTTGTGTCCAAAGACCAGACGAGACTGTGCCCTCATTCATTCTAAGACTAAGAGAGCTGTATTGCAGGTTGCGGCAACATGACCCTGATGGAACTCCCCCTGACACAGTCCTGCGAGACCAGCTGCTGTTGGGGCTGCGTGAAAGTTCCCTGGCTCAGGCCCTGAAGGTCTATGCCCGCCGTAACCCTGATGAAACTTTTTCTGCACTCAGACAGGAGGCGCTGCTGCTTGATACAGAACATGGGAACCCCCAACCGGAGGTAATCTGTGCTTCTGTGTATAAACCAAATGTGCCTCCTCCATCACAGGACACCAGCTGGAGAGAGACCCTGAAAAGAGAGATCATGGAAGACGTGAAATCTCAGATGACCGGACTGACCCAGGAACTGTTGCGAGAGATTAAACCGCTCCTTCAACCAGCTGTTATTGCACCACAGCCCCTAATACAGCCCTATAGGGAGCGACAACGATCAGTTTCCCAGACGAACACCTGGGATGAGCAAGGTAGGCCCATTTGCCGCCAATGCAGACAAGCCGGCCACATAGCTAGATTTTGTAGGAGGCCAACTACTGCTCGGCAGGCTTTAAACTAGCTTTCCCTGCTGCTGAGGTCCGAGGGGCAGGGGTTGAAAGTACAACAGAAGAAAACGGGCCCACTGAAGCATTTATTGGAAGGTGTCCAACTATAGACGTAAACATTGAAGGAGTTACACTGTCGGGGCTATTAGACACGGGGTCCCAGGTCACCTTAATGCAGCAAAGCCTCTTTGAGCAACATTTTACCCAAGCTAAGCTTGGAAAGGCTCCTATAGTTTTTAAGTTACAGGCCGCAAATGGCCTGGAGATCCCTTATACGAGCTATGCCGTATTAGATCTGGAGCTAGAGGGTGCTAAGATACCTGGAAGAGGAATTGTGATTGTGAAGGATGAACACTGTACACACCCACTCATCATTGGAATGAATGTTGTTACTGCTTGTTGGACTGTTTTTTTTAAATGTCCCAGAGGGTCTGTTCCCCCCCCCACAGACGTTACAGAGACAGCGGGTTTGGAGGGATGCATTTGCTACATGCAGACACATTGAGGCTACCATGACAGAGGACGGGATGTTGGGGTACGTGCGGCCAGCCAGCCGACGGGTCATCAAAATTCCCCCAAAGAGTGAAGTACTGGTGTGGGGTCGGGCTCGGATGAGCCTGGGGGGAAAAGATTACTGTGCCCTAATTGAAGCGCTGCCTGAGACTTGCAGTGTGAGGGTGGCCAGGACCCTAGCAGTGATAAGAAATGGCAGAGTCCCTGTGAGAGTTTTTAACCCACACCCCTACTGTTTGATGCTAGATCGGTACCAGAAGCTTGGCAAACTGTCCCGGGTGGATGAAGCGGATGTACATGGAGCCTGCGACCTTAACCTGTCCCTTGAAGGTGATTGTGTTGTTGGAGTGACACTGGTAAATGCTGCAGTTGACGAGGAGGACCAGAAGCTGCCGATAGGGGTGAGTGAACTCTCCAACAGGCCTGATCTGTCTGAGCAGCAACAGGAGGAGCTGCGCGCCCTGCTGCTGAAATGGCAGAAGGTGTTTGCACAGCACAATGAGGACTTCGGACGTACAGACCTGGTACAACATCGCATCCATACTGGTGATGCACCACCTATCCGAGAACGACATCGACCTCTTCCCCCTGCCATGTATAAAGAGATGAAATCCCTACTCTCAGGTATGCTGGAGCAAGGTGTCATTAAAGAGAGCTGTAGCCCATGGGCGGCACCCATAGTACTGGTGAGAAAAAAGATGGCAGTTGGAGATTCTGTGTGGATTACAGGAAGTTAAATGCAATAACTCATAAAGATGCATTTCCCCTGCCCAGGATTGAAGAAACCTTGACCAGTCTGACCAGAGCAGAATGGTTTTCTACTCTTGACTTAGCCAGTGGCTATTGGCAAGTTGAGATGGACACCCAAGACCAGGAGAAGACCGCCTTCACCACACCGCTGGGGCTGTATGAATTTGAGCGTATGCCCTTCGGCCTGTGCAATGCGCCAGCTACCTTCCAACGTCTGATGCAACAATGTTTAAATGGCCAATTGTCAGAATCCTTACTGGTTTATTTGGATGACATTATCATTTATTCACCTGACTTTTCCTCCCATCTACAGCAGCTAGATGAGGTGTTTAACAAACTGTGGCGGCATGGCTTGAAACTGCGCCTGGATAAGTGCAAACTCCTGCAGAAGGAAGTGAAATTCCTGGGCCATGTGGTGGACCAAAAAGGGGTGAGTCCTGATCCAGACAAAATCTCAGCCGTAAAAGACTGGCCCATCCCCACCACTGTAAGACAGGTACGAGCCTTCCTTGGCTTAGCTGGCTATTACAGACGCTTCGTTTCTGGCTTTGCAAAGATTGCACGCCCCCTCAACCAACTGCTGACAGGCATCCCTGCTGATAAAAAGTCGCAAATCCGAAAGGTACAGTGGTCCTCAGAGTGCCAGACATCCTTTGATCACCTGAAAGCAGCTTTAACACAAACACCTGTTTTGGCATATGCTGATTACTCCCTGCCATTCCTCGTTTACACAGATGCCAGTAATCATGGTTTGGGAGCAGTCTTGGCCCAGGTCCAACAAGGGCGGGAACGAGTGATAGCCTATGCCAGTCGCAGCCTACACCCAACAGAGCGGAATGATGCAAATTATAGCTCTTTCAAACTAGAGCTCCTGGCTCTTAAGTGGGCAGTAACCGAGAAATTTAAAGACTATCTGACTGGAGCCCGATTCACGGTGTACACTGACAATAACCCTGTGGCCCACTTACAGACAGCTCGCCTGGGTGCCGTGGAACAGCGCTGGGTCGCACAGCTTGCCTCCTTCGATTATGACATCAAGTACCGCTCAGGTAAAAGTAATGTAAATGCAGATGCCCTGTCTCGGTTCCCAATTAACCCACTGACTGCAGATGCCTCATGTGAAAACCTTGAGCTGGAAACCGTTCCAGTCGAGGCAGCCATTGAACTGACCCCTGAGGGAGGTGAAGAGGAGTGGACAGGCAGAGAGTGGGAGGAGGCACAAGCTGGTGATGCGGACCTTCAAATCATTAAGAGGTATGTGGAAACCCAAATGATACTGACGAGACCAGAGCGCCTGACATTGTCCCTTAGAGCCCAGAGACTGTTGCAACAAAAGCGAAAACTTCAGGTTAAAAGCAAAATACTGTGTCGTAAAATGATTGACCCGCACACACACGAAGTGTGTTTCCAGATTGTGTGTCCAGAATCTAGGAGCCAAGAAGTTTGGAAGAGGATCCATGAAGCCGCTGCCCATGCTGGTGTGGAGAGAACCCTAAACCGGATCCGTCAGCGGTTCTATTGGCCTGATATGGAGAGGGAGGTACGTCAGTTGCAGCAGGGTTGTGTTGCCTGTAACCTGCAGCGAGACAGGGTGGAGCCTAAGGCCCCCCTAAATCCATTCACAGTATCCTACCCCTTAGAAGTGGTGGGGTTGGACTTTTTGTCCTTAGGTCGGCCCACAGACACCTACCAGAACATTCTTGTTGCTACTGATCTGTTTACCCGTTTTTCTTGGGCTATTCCCACTCGAGATCAAACAGCTCAGACTACAGTAAAGGCCCTGTGGACCCATGTGATCCAACCATTTGGTTGCCCCGCCCGTTTCCATTCTGACCAGGGACCTAATTTCGAATCTGCACTTATGAAACAATTTTGTGATACCTATGGTATAACTAAAAGCCGCACAACTCCCTACCATCCCGCAGGAAATGGCAGTGCAGAGCGTTTTAATCAGACCTTGTTAAATATGCTCCGCTCTTTAGAGACGTCTAAGCAATTTCACTGGCCCGACTATCTGCCCGAACTGACACACGCCTATAATAACACCACACACAGTGCGACTGGGTATACCCCTTCCTTCCTCATGTTTGGGCGACACCTGCGACTTCCTGTTGATGTAGGATTAGGTGTAGGTCCCCAACAGATGAGGCACGATGTAGGTGGGTGGGTACAAGACCACCAGCAGAAACTGTCCTTAGCTTATAGCCTGGCTAAACAAAGAATGGAGAGTGCAGCCACCCAGAACAAGCAGCACTATGACAAGAGGGCCAAAGCGTTACCACTTTTACCGGGGGAAAGGGTGTGGGTGCGAGATAGGAACAGACGAGGGGCAGGAAAGTTGTGTACTTGGTGGGACCCAGAGCCATGGGTGGTGTTGGAGCAGGTGGGGGATACAGGGGTTGTGTACAAGATTCAGCCAGAGAAGGGTGGCAGAATACAAAATATCCATAGGAACTCACTTAAGGTGTGTACAGTACCCCCAACCGAAGTCCCGCTACCAACCACTGAGCCGGTTGTCCAGATGCAGGGACCCATCCAGCCCATGATCTACGGGTTCCTTCCAGCACCGGTAGCCATACCGCCTGTGAATGTGGAACCTGAGGGTGCCCTACGATGCTCCACCAGGGTAAACTTTGGACAAACTCCAGTCCGTTATAGAGACTCATAACATGTTGCAGGGACTGCTAACTTTAAAGTGTGGGGAGATGTCACGGGGGGAAGTTTGATTTTATTTAAGCATGCTTTTACTTTGAATTTGCTGTGTTTTTGTCTTATTTATTATTGCATGCTTTTATTTTGAAGTGTGTTTGTGTTACGTTGGTTTTACTTCCCCACCGGAGACATACCTTAATCAAGCATAAGGACTTACACCTGGCACCCAGAGAGGGGAGTGACTGTTCTTGGATAAAAAGGACACTATGGAAGATACCCGGGGGCACGAGGGAGGACACAGAGGGCACGAGGGAGGACACGGAGGTCACAACGGGCCGGACAGCAGGAAGCAGACAGAGAGACAGAGCAGATCATCGCACTGGAAGAGGTCTGAAGAGACACCGGAGCAAACACCGACCGTTAGCGGCTATAATTGGGAGAAGGTAAAACTTCTCCCTCCCGCGTAAGTCCCGTTTCAGACCGGTGTTTGTGTAGTGTGTAATATATAAAGTTGTGCCTTGTTAAAGGACATTGACTGGCCCTGAGTTTCCCTCGACAGGCTGCCGAAGAGCGGAGCCAGGTGAAGAGCAGGTGGTCGCCACCAGAGACCCGCGACTGCCGTTGTTGACTTCCCACTCCATCCGTGCCACATTATTTTAGCTGGGTTTTAGTTGTTTGTGTTCTTTGTTTAGTTTATTTGAAGGTAGAGCTTTTAGTTGTTTTTACTTATTTTAAAATAAATTGTGTTCAACTGTGTTCCACTGGCTGTACTCATTGTTTTAAAAATAACACTGTTTACTGCTCTCCCCCGACATAAAAGAACCTGTTTACCCTAACTTTAATTTGGTGATCCTAAGAGGTCCTAGGCCTCAGTTAAACCTAGGTGGCGTTGTCGGCACTTGTGTTTTAATTTATCCACCCTTAGCACGGCTCACAATAATGCTCCTGACATTAACTATTTAAACTGAACAACATCATTACTGATATCTGGAGTAGGGTAACATCACCAGACATGTGCTGTAGCTTTACAGAGCTCTAGTAGGGTAGGCAGTGAGTCTGATATTAACCACATTTTTGGGGAAACCGAGGTGAATGTTAACATAGTTTCCCAAACTATCTGTTATAAGTGGATGGCCAGATGACATTGCATTACATTGTTGCCAAAGTATTTTTTATATTTATTTTGTACTGTTTTGCAAGTTTACACCTGCAAGTGGCTTTAGCTCCATTCAAATGCTTGCTTTGTTTCACATGGGGCTGAAGCTGGTAAATGGTAAATGGACCTGTACTTGTATAGTGCCTTTCTAGTCTTCCAACCACAGAAACTAACATTCATACACATTCACACACTGATGCACGGCATCGGGAGCAATTTGGGGTTCAGTATCTTGCTCAAGGATACTTCGACATGTGGCACCAGGAGCTGGGGATCGACTCGCTCTGCCTCTGAGCCACGGCTGTAGCTTTACTAGGTGCACACAGTCTGACAGGTGGGCAGATATAGACAATGCAGGCCCAGATTGGGCCCTTTGTGAGTGATTCAGGTTGCCAGATTGCATATACAGATAGGCAATAATAATTTCAGGATAATATGTATGTTGATGAAGTCCAGTCATGTCAAGTCTGTATTTGATCACGTGGTAGTAACTCATTTGACTGTAAAAGCCAACACATTGTTGATAAAATATATATACGCCTAATGGTGTGAGTGTGTGTGTGTGTGTGTGTGTGCGCTCTGGGGGCCATCATCTACCTTACACCACTGGTCTGACATTGCAAAGGATGATTGTAATACGGGTGCATTCCCTCATGAAAATGTTCAGATAAGGTGGCTAGACTGTGGATTACTTCAAAACCAGCCAGATCATTTAATCACTCATGTTGCTAGCCCTACTGGACTTCCTCATAGCTCAACAATGAAACTGATGTGTACACAGTGTTACCATAACTGATAAGAATGATGGACAAAACTACAGAGGCGATATATAAAGTTTACAAATAAAAATCTGTGCAACTCAAAAAATCTTGCCACTTCTTTCTCAAACAAAGCAGATGGCGGGTTCATCGACAGACCAGTGAAATTATCGCCTCCTGAAGCCTCTGCAACACTCTTATCACCACCGTCTGTTCTCTAATTGAAGGATTAACCAAGGCGAAGCCTGCTAGCTTCAGAGTACAGCTCTCAGTCTTATGCATGGAAATACAGTACTGTTGGCCTTCTATTCAGACAGACCTACAGACAGAGTACTGCGGCTCTGGGGTAAACTGAGAGTGCATTTCTAAACTAAATCAGAAAGAGACAGCGACAGCAAGTTAAACACAGTCAAGGGGATGGCTTGTGATTACCAAAGATGAAAATGTGTCTTGTCATAAAATATGTGAAGCCTAGAAAACTGCTATCTTCCCATTCATCTTCGCTTTAGTATTTACCTCCGTCGCTTTCTCTCTCAATGCAATCATAGTCCTCCCTTTCTATCATTTTATGTATCATAATGTTATATTTTTGCTCTACTTTGTCTTCACTCAGCATACACTTTCGTCTCATTCATATGCTAATATTCTTATTTTAATTCCTTTTTGCC